ATACATACATACATACATACATACATACATACATACATACATAAAAAATAATTTCCAATTATGGCTGCACATTGTATAAAAAAAAACATATCGTTATCACATAATAGCATATGCAACATCCATATCATAGAAATATGCAATAAATTAAATTAAATTAATATTATGTGCTGTATTCATAGGTTACTCAAATCTGACCAATCAGATGGGACCTTTACTATCTGTATCCTCACCTCTGCAGGGGGTGCTGTTAGGTGAACCTTGAGCTGAAAGGCGAAAGACAAAAGAGTAAAATGACAAGAGCCAATAAGAATCAGAATTTCTGCTGAGGTTTTTTAGTCCTTTGTGGTGTTTTAAAATCTCAGATTTAATTAGCTCAGAAAAAAATATTAACTGTTTATTCTAGTATAATTGTTATAAATATTTTTTTTAAGGTTTGTAAGTATCGTAAGATATATTGTTATTGCAACACTTAACAACCATACCATGTTATCATGCAGCCCTAAAAACACTTCAAGAACAGATTTTAATGTGCAAGTCTCCATGAATACATTAAAAATATTGTAAAACTAGTGATGCATATACATTAAAAAATAAGAAAAAGAATTGTCCAGCACACATAATACATTGCTTTTAGTTAAGTTTCCAGATTTGTGTGAAAGGGGAAGGATTTGACATTGCCATCTATACATGAAACTTTTTCAAAGATGCAAAAGAACTTTGTAATTATTAGTTTACTTACTGAGCAATATTAATTAATTACATGTAGAATACTTATGTATAGTTAGAATGTGGGTTAGGTTTAGGGTTAGCGGCATTTAATTATGCATGCGTAAGTGTAATAAATATAGTATTTCATGATAAAATAGTACATAGAACATTTGTATGCCTTAAAATTAAGTGTTATCATTATTTTTTTTCAGAAATTGTTAATGTATTTGTTATGTTTTGTAATAATATTTGATGTCATAACTTGAATGATTTTCCCTCAAAACCTTGGATCACTCTTTGGGTTAAAGGAAAATATTCCCTTTTAGCCCTGAACTGAAAGAACATACACTGCAACAAGGTAAGCACAGAACAGCATATTTTCCCAGGGTCAACTTACTGTTTTCAGACCGTTTACCTGTTTGTGTTAATCTCTACAACACTGCGACTAAACTCTTCTCTGAAACTCTTTCCTTCGTTTCCTTGAAGTGATTTTTCGAGTTCCCCTTTGCTGCTCCTTGCCCCCCTCCATCTCCGCCTTGTTCCCACTAGGCTCCATCTGCTCGTGGAGGAGCCGCAGCAGCTGCAGAGCCTGAATGTGCTGCTCCTCTGCCACTGCACACGAGCACCAGCTGTAAACTAGAGCCTACGCAGCCTATAGCACTGCTGCTGAAAACACTCACAGATTAGCCAGGTGATTAGTTACTGATGGCACAGAGTGGAAGTGCCGGGTAAACAATATAGAAACTACACGTTTGTCTGTGAAGCTTACTTTATATTCTCACATATTTTATAAGGACTTGTAGTGTTGCATACGGCTCAAAATTGGGTTTTTCCACAAATATGGCGTTGAAGACTCATTTCGTTTTCTCCCCAAAAACAATTTGATTTTCCGATTGTACAGAGCATTTTAGATCAGATATATATATATAAATATAAATAAATATATATATATATAAATATATATATATATATTTTTTTTTTAATGAACCTCAGTCCTGATCATAATTGTTAAGACAATTACAGGATTTTAACGCTTTAATTGCAAAATTCACAAATGATGTCACTGATTTGGTGAAAAACACACAAAATGACACATTTTTAATATAAAAAGTAATTGTGGACTGTTTTTGCCCCATTGACTTCTATTATAACTACATTTGATGGTGCATCAATACACAGTCTTTGTTTTTGTTTACTCCATGTAGTTCTGAGAGCTGAGATGCATATTTGATTTTTTCAGACACATCAAGGTGTGCGTAAAGATCACACACACACACACACACACACACACACACACACACACACACACACACACACACACACACACACATACACACAAACACTTTAATTTGCTGCTATACTCCATAAAAAAATCCAGAACAGAAAACAAAGCTTTTTTGCACAGGCCTATTTAAAGGGTTAATGATCTCAACTAATGATCAACAGTAAAAATAATACAAATTTTATCTCTTCCCAACAGAGTGCATGATTATATGGTGTCATTGTTTTGTCATCAAAAAAATGTCTTTATAATAGAAGTCAATGAGGCAAAAACAGTAAATAAGGGATACAAAAAAATTAAAATCAATCAGAAACTATCAATGTTGTTTCACATGTCCACATGAGTTTTTCCTCAAATATGGCATAGAACACTCTTCAGTTTTCCCCAAAAAACATTTAGATTTTCTGATTGTAAAGAGCATTTTAATGTAGGTTTTCCTCTGCAAGGAAACACGTGTGCAATAGAAAGGCTCCATACAGGGAAGTCTGGTGAAAGGGGTGGTTCTTTTTTCTTAAAAAGTCAACCTTTTTGCAGTTATTCGCTTCATTTTCTATTTAATTAGTAAGGTTTAATAGGTTGCATTTTTTTTTTTTTTTTGCTGAATTAGCTGGTTGGTTGGTCATCATAAACACACTTTTTGATGTAACAAAAACATTTCCTTGATTTTAGAACGAAGAAATATGAGAACAATACTTATTTTTTTCAATATAAATGTATTAAAATGCATAACATTAGGGGGAAAAAGTGGAATCTGTTGCTGTTAGAAATCTGTTACTGTTAAGTTTTAAATGAAAAACTAGCATATTGTCATTTAAATATCATTAATTAAAATAAGAAACTTGTCACACATTAAATTTTTCCTTAGTCATACTGAAGCGACAGCCAACAGAGGATTATGCTTGGTGTTAAAGCCTTTTTTGATGGGTTATTTTCACAAGTTACTGTGGCATAGCAGTCAAAATGTGACAAATGAGTTCATGTGGGACAAATTCCGGACCTTTGTCAGTGAGGGGTGGGTCTTTCACAGTGGATCTTGCGTGTCAGGATTGCCTTCTAAGGTGCATGTCATTTATTAAATAAAGAAAAGATTCACGCAGCTTCTCCTACCACAGCACATTCTGTTTTTAATTTAGATATTTGGCGCCAGTTAATCAGGAAGTGACGGTTTTGTTTGCTTTGACTCGGTGGATGGAAACGCTGCTTTATTTGCACATCTTTTATGCGATGATCCAGTTTTGCGTAAAAAGTGACTGTGCATTTTTTTGGATTGAAACGAATAATGAACCTACATTTTAGGGTTGAAGATTAATATCAGTTACTGTTAGCTTTTTTTGTAGTATGTCAGTGCCAAAGACCTATAGTGGTTAGTGTTCCAACATATAGCACAGAAGTGCTCAAGGCGACCTGAGTTCGATTCCCAGCTTGAGTTTCTTTGCAAATCCATGCCCTCCCTCTACTCCCCTCACTTTCCTGTCTGTAATTTCCACTGTCCAGTACATTTAAAGGTGAAAACCCTGAAAAAAAATATTATTATTAAAAAGGCATGTCAAATATGTAACACTACTGTAACAGCATCTTAGTCTATTATTCTTGATTTTTTTGTAATTAAATTTACCACACATAGAAACACACACACACGATTACCATCACTCTTGCCACCATTTGTATTGTAAAAGCAATTGCCTTTTAAATTAATTAAATATTTTTGAGAAGAAATCATGTATCATTTCTCACTCACTCACTCACTCACTCGCCATTTAACATTTCTGGTTATATTTGGAATATAAACGAGTGTTTTGTGGAGTTTGCAGATGTACTGTATTGTGTGGAAACTTTAGAGATGGTGCAAGTGGGGTTAATAAGCAATGTATAGGGAAATGTTTGAGCTGTTAAACCTTTTTACATCCTTTTAGAAACTTCTGAGCTATATTCCAACTAATGGTTTGTTTAATGTGCAATTTTCATAAACCTAAATCTATTACAAATAATTTGGCGTTTAAAAGGATAGTTTAAAGGCCCAGATTAGCCTGAGGCTCTGGATTGAATGTAATAATGTTGTAAATAATGTTCAGTTTCTGGCACAGACCATGCATTAATTATTATTATTATCTTTGCCTGTAGGCTTGTTACTAGCTATTGATGGTATTTAATGAATCATCAAGGTTCAAAGTTTCAGCTAAAATAGTATTGTACGGTCTGCTGAAAAAAAAAAAGCCACCTACATCTTTTTTGAGAGTGATAAGTTTAGCAGCAGGTTTAGCAGCATTTTTGGGGGGTGAACTATCCCTTTATGTAACAGTTAATGATAGCAAGGATTAAGAAGCGGGAAATGCGTGTTTAAGAGCAGTGTAAAAAGGTAAAACTGTCCGGTATACTGATATCTTCTCTTGGCATGAAGCTATAGTGGTATTTATCTAAAATAGCAATGCGTTCCCCATTTGTACATCTGTTGCTCAAAACAACAGTAGCGTTAGCTATACAGTAAATGCCTGCTAACCTATTCACTCTATCTGTGTATCATATATATATAGGCTATGTGATGTAAATCGATGAAAAGGGTTTTGGGACGTCTGGATGTCCCATGTGATTTGCGCAGCTTTGACAGAGCAGCAGAAAACGAGGATCAGACCAAGTTTGAGGTGATTCTGCTTTTTTTACTGCCCACTTGCTGTTGAAAAGGGAAAGAACCACTACACTTTTTTCATTGTTCAAAAAATTACAGTACACCTAAAAAAATAATTTCGCTTTGATTTCTGAAATGTGGATTTTTCAAGCTTATGAGGATCACATTGTCGTAACTCGACTTTCCTCAATATTCTTATTCCGCGGAAACATGGCGGGCGCCGTGAACGTGAAAAAATGAGACTGAGAGACGAATAACAGCATCAATAAATCATTCTCGTCCAATGTTGTTCCCGGGAGATTTCTGATGGATGAAATTAAGCACTTCCATCTCCATCTCCCACCTGATCGCGCCCGTATAAATCCCAGCAGCTGATCAGCAGAGCTCAGACATCAAACCGACCCGCGCGAGCGTAGCTCTTTCTCTCACTTTCTCTCTCTCGGTCTTTCTGCTTTAACAACATCAGTTCTCCGGAAACGTGCTTGAATTTAAAACTGCCCATTTTTGGAGCGTGTCCATTTGAGTCCGAGCGCACTCTGACACAGGCTCGGGGAGGCGGATCTGTTGCTGCTGCTGTTGCTTCAGTCGTCGCGTGCGCTGTCCAGTGCTGAAGTTGCATTTCGTCTGTGCGGATCGCCTCGTTCTCAGCTGAAGCTTCGGAGCTTCCGCGTCTTTTCCCCGGCTCAGGTGTTTGACTTTCAGACCTGCAGGATCAACTCTTCTATTGTGCGGTGGATAAAGAGAGGATAACGTGCTGGAAGAGGCTTTCAGCTCTGCGCTCTAAACATGCCAAGGTCTTTTTTGGTGAAAAAGGTGAAGCTAGATGATTTCTCATCCTCTGAACTTGAGAGCGCGTACGGCAGGTCCAGGACCGATCTCAGCTTTCGGATTCACGACAAAGGTAAATGCAAAGGAATGCGTTTTGTTTATTCTGCTCTTTTAGCGTTTAGTTAATATACATATACCAGAGATAAATATACCAGAGATTGCTACAAAAGGGGCTCGTTTACAATGTAAAAAATAAACTATGTAATGAAAGTGGTTGGATTGAGCACCCCCAAGGCTTTGCTTGTGGTTTTTGTAAAACCGTGATGACAATTTAAACACAATCAGTAAGATTCCAGCACTGAAAACGCACAGTAACCTTTGCATGAACGCTATATAAAAACATCTACTGGTAACGATGCTTAACTTCTCAGCAACTTGGAGCCCAGTCACTTCCAAATGAGCTTAGGTGTTTGTTTATTCTGCAAATCAAAGAAACGCTTAGGGCAGCTGCACGCTGCACACTGTGCTTATGGTGGTGCCTTTAGAGTGGGGTAATTAATCTCCTACTGTAAAAAAGTGCTATCTGTGCTCATACTGTAAGTCCACAGCGGATGTAGTATCCTTCACAGCTCCCTGACTTTGTCCTCAAATAACTCTGGAATAATGTGAAGCCAACCTGACACTGTTCGATGTGAAATTTCCAGCAGTGAGTGGTCATTAAGTCTAATTATATTCAAAGAGAAATGCTGAATTTGTTAAACATATAATGAATCTCAAAGAGCGCTGGCACAATCTGGTTGCCTGTCGCCTTTGCCAAGGTGGAGATAAATTGAGCGGAAAAGTGGTCGTTGCATCGCCGAACCCCATTGTCCTCAGCCGATTCCCTTGTGAATATGAATAATTGAATAAAAGATCTTGTTCTTTCCATGCTAGGCTACATCAGTGACTACATCACCCCGGCCATTTATGATGGAGAGAGTGACGGAGGCACTAAAGTACCTTCTCCAGGACCTATTTACGACAGCAACCACAGTGACTACGGGGCACCTGACTCAGACCAACCCGACAGCCCGCAGTCAGAGATCACATCCGGGTACATCAATGGCGACAATGCGGTGAGCGAGGGTTACACCGTGGATGCCTTCTTCATCACAGACGGCAGGTCCCGTCGGAAAGTGATAAGTGGCTCGCGGACCCTCCAGCGGCACACTTGCAACGAATGTGGCAAAACCTACGCGACGTCTTCCAACCTGAGCAGGCACAAACAGACACATCGGAGCTTAGACAGCAAGATGGCCAAAAAGTGCCCAACATGTGGGAAGGTGTACGTGTCCATGCCAGCCATGGCCATGCACCTGCTCACCCATGACCTCAAGCACAAGTGCGACATATGTGGGAAGGCATTCAGCAGACCTTGGCTCCTGCAGGGCCACATGCGCTCTCACACGGGCGAGAAGCCCTTTGGATGTGCACACTGTGGAAAAGCCTTCGCCGACCGCTCCAACCTGCGGGCACACATGCAGACCCACTCGGCGTTTAAGCATTTCAAATGCAAGCGATGCAACAAAACTTTCGCACTCAAGTCCTACCTGAACAAGCACTACGAGTCTGCGTGCTTTAAAGGTGCGTTCTCACCTCACTCGTCCATTGAGGCGTGACTTCCGGTCTGTCAGCGCTCACTTCCCTGTCACGTGTTAGGATGATTACGCTATCTTACCCTGTTTCACAATCAAAATGAAACCCAATAATAGCACAATTTTATCTTTTGTTTCGCAAAGTTGACCTTAAAGGAATATGGAACCTTCGCATGCACTTCAGCACCCATGTCCTCAAATGACGTTCAGACAGTTCACCTTGAACCTGCGCAGCACTCGACTATGACTGGCGTCAAATGAAGGTTTGAGTGACACCGTGTTCCTCGTTAAAATAAAACTCTTTTGTATTGTCAGTGGATATTATCATACTGCTGCAAGTGGCCCAAACATATTCGCAATCGAGGTAAACCGGTATTTATTCCATTAATTTATTTGACTTTTTGATTTATTGTATGTTTTAATTACTCCATCTAGGATGTATGATTGTCTATAATGCACTTTTTGTTTTTATTTGGCCTTTTCTTTCTCAATAATGTTGCCTTTTGGGTTATGCCAGACTTATTAACATGCCAAAGCATTTAGATCCATGATAATAATTTAATGTTTTCTTTTTTTATGATTATTATTCTTGATTTTTTGTATACCTACTTAATGCATGCAAAAAAAAAAAAAAAAAAAAAGAAAAGAAAAGAAAGGAAAATCTATGCCAATACCACAAAGCTTATAATTTTGCCAAAATGTAGAGATAGTATCAGGGGGCAATATTTCTAGGGGTTCTCATAAGAATATAAAAAGCAATAATCATAATGCATGGTATTTTTGAAAGTAATAAAAGTATTACCTATAGCAGTTTTTTCTAAATCAGGTATGTTTCGATCCAATACTCTCAATAAACATTTAAAAATGCCACATCAGGGAAAATGCCAATGTAGAGTTTAGTGAGACGAAATCCATAAGTCTGAACCATCTTCCTTTGCTCTCTGCTTATGCACTGCCTGCCTCGAATTTAAACGTAGATTTAGGATGTAGGCCCAAAGTGCTGTAACCCCACTCTAAGCAATTCAGAACCATTCTCTCGAAGTACGGGGCATGTAATGGCTTTTCTGAGGTTAACTCAAAGGGACACGCAAGGACAAGCAAAGGACTGGAGTGATAGGAAGGTGTACCATCTGCATAGCCGTTCTGTAATGCACTCACAGCTCAGATCCGACACTTCATTTCCTCCAGTTTGGTCGTCCCTGAGGTTGAAAGCACTTCATTGTAGAAATCCTTAAAAAGTAGCACAAGAAAACCCTAGATTCAGGTAGATGTTACCTAGCTCAATCTTCCTTTTTTATATCTTGAAAGAGGAATAACAAGCTCAGTTTGTGAGATGATCTTCATGTAGATACTCATTTGAAGAGGAAAAACCTTTTTACTGTAGTTGAATCCACTGTTTGAGGATGAAAAACAAACAAGAAAAAAATGTCCTGCGACTTTTTTGAGCCAATGTTCAAATGATGTAAGCACAAGACACAAGGCATTTTAAGCACTTCATAATAAAGGCAAAGTAAACAAACCCAGTCTGTTGCTCATTTGTCCCTGATTATTGCCGTTCCTCTGTGAAATTAGTCTATTAAAGAGGCCAATTAATCTTGGTGAATGAAAATCAATGCACACACACTGACGAAGCAACACGGGCCAAGAGATGGGACGGGCGAAAACCTGCTACGGTTATTTACGGTTCAATATATCCACTCCGGCAGTAGCAATTGCTTGTTTTTCATGTATCACCAAAAGCTGAAATAATGGAAGTCCGGAGGGAGCAATTTCCACAGGTGCTGAGTTTCCTTTAAGGTGACATTCTCGCCATACAAACTTTCCTGCATGCGTACATAAACAAAAAGGTGCTTTTGTTAACCCAAATCAACAGGTGATTCAGCAGCCCTGCAAGATGCGCCACATAAGATGCATCGCTCTCCGGTTGTACTTTTGGTGAGCGCTCATGCGAAACAAACTGCCCTTCTGTAAGGATGCAATCCACAAACACACACTACAAAATGCTGCTTTTACCGCAGTATCTGCTCGGCTCTCGTTCACCAAACTCTCCTGCTCAGGTTAATCTAGCTTGTGCAAACGAGGCCACTGGTGTCATCAATTTGCTGGGAATCATTATCCGAGCATTCTGAGCGTCTGCGCTCTGGTCTCCGGAGCTCTGGGTAATTGTGCTAGCAGGATGGGATCAGCAGGAGCCATTATTTAACCGGAGACAGCTGTGCGAGGGGCCGCACACGTTGATCTGTTTGCTGTTTCGTCCCTGTCTCTCTGCTTTAGGATCACAGCGTCCCCTGAGTGATTCCTGCGTCTGCTGTAGACTCTCTGTGTGCACTCTGAGGTCTTGACAAACCCCATAACGCTCTCTTACATCTTACAAACTTGATCTCAGAAAAAACATTTTCTGAAGTGATTATTGGATCGGGGTTAGTTAAAGAAACTGCTTATTAGTGACAATGCTGTTTTTTTCTTTTCCTTCCGGAAAGCCAGAATCAATATCCATGAGGTTACAGTCAGCGATGGCTGATATTGTGTCGGTGTCAAGTGATGGATTAGATCAGAGGCTATTAAAGCAAGCCTTGTATTCGTAAACACATAGATGGGTCAGAGGACAGGATTCATTAAAAGAATTTGTTGATGGACTGCTGCTAATAGCTGGGCAGTTTGTGGACGTGCCAATACACCCAGTAGAAAATGCCATTCTAGCAACTTTTACCTTGCACCAGCAAAAGGCCTCTTTTCTGTTTTTTTCTAATGAAAAAAAAAAAACCACAAACGAACTTCACATGTTAGACTCACATGAGAAACACGTGGTTTTGGAACATGTTTAACATGTGAGACTTTTTTGCATTATGGTGCTTTTCTTTAAAGGTTACTTTATTTAACATTCAAGCTGTATTTTTACCATACACTTTTATAGAAAAAACAACAAAAGGTACATTAAACCATTTATTGTTCAATAATGTAATGTTTTTGTTATTATTATTATTATTATTATTATTATTATTATTATTATTATTATTATTATTGATTATTACAATAATATTGTTTAATACAATAATATTATTAAATGATTATTACATTTTTTTTGTATACCTACTTAAAGGTGCAGTAGGTGATTGTCCTCAAAAACACTGTTGTACTGGTTGAAAGTCTCTTCACGTTCCAGCAGTAATGATAAAAATAAATCATATTTTTATATTCTGTGTAAGGCATAAAACAAAAAAAAATATTTGTCCAATTAAAATTTGTTCGGTCGACAATTCCCGTAATTCTGATAAGTAGCCCAAACTGTCTGTCAACAAATGTAGATTTGTACAACTGTGCCTCTTTTCACACAGATCCGCCATTTGCTCTTGTATGTGTTCATGTGCACACGAGACAGCTGTAAAATCAAATGCTGAATCAAAACTTTTTGAAGTTTTAAATCAATATGGGAGTTTATTTTGTATGCTGGAGGAAGGATGACACCATAGCTAAAGGATTTCTTTTAGAGAGCAATGTTTCAAAATTATTTTCAGTCATGGTGGTGTAGATTTTGTTGTTACGAATGGGTTATATGCATGGAAGTGTTGCTCAGCCACTGAAATTTTCCCACAAAAGAAGGATGTGACTTCAGTTTTATAAGGTTCCTTTTAAAGCATCGATAATGTAGATTTTTTAGTTTAACAACAAAACATCAGTAAATTTTCTATCTAGGCTGCTTTACTGAGCTTAAAGTTGCTTTTATATTCACATCGGTTCATTTTTGAACAATGTTAACCTGTGATGTGCTCTGTTTTATTTACCATGCCACTTTGAATATTCGGTCTGAAATAACACGTACACATGGCTTAGTAATAAGTGTAATTCCTGCACTCCACTGGCTAAGCACTAAGCATACAGTAGTCATTTTAAGACAAAGCGTGTGAGAGAGTGATCTTTGCATGCATGAAATATTGCACGTTATGACAAGTTTTGCTTGCTAAACAACTGAAAACATGCTAGATGTAATACAGTTTTTCATTCGGAATTGTAGAATTATAATGTACTATAAAGTGATATTATTTCTAACAGGCGCTTGACATGAACTAGTGGGTTGTCTGCTGTCATCTTTAAGGTGCGTGTTTGTGTTTCAGGAGGCGTGACTTTGAATGGCAGGGGAGGGACATTTTTTTAGCATTTTGGCAGATCACCTACTGCACCTTTAATGTATGCAAAAAAAAAAAAAAAAAAAAGAAAAAAAAAAAAATATATATATATATATATTTTTTTTTTTTTTTTGGGGGGGGGGGGGGGGGGGGTTGATGTCACAACACTACATTATATCTATCATGCTTTTGTCACAGGTTGTGAGAGCAGCAACTTTACCATATTACCCTGCAGCCCAACACCGGTTACTCACTAAAGTGCCTGGATGGGAGACCATATGGGAAAACTAGGTTGCTGTTGGAAGTGGTGTTAGTGAGGCCAGAAGGGGGCGCTCAACCTGTGGTCTGTGTGGGTCCTGATACCCCAGTAAAGTGAAGGGGACACTATACTGTCAATCCCTCCATCAACCTTTACCGATCATGGCCTCGATCATGGTTTCTTTAATTTTTTTCACTCATCACTTTAACACAATTTCATTGAAAATAAGAAATATTTAATATTTTGCCATTTTGTGCTTGTATGATTTTTTGCTAAAGTAAGTTTTGAAGTAAACATAATTTGATGATACCGGACCACGTTAGAACCGAACAACCCTCTTGAAAAATCCCAGGTGAAACCAGCAGAAATCCGGGTTGATCTAGATTTATCTAGATTTTTTATTTTATTTTTCAGTCATCAGATAAACACAATTTCATTGAAGTTTGGAAATATTTAATGTTTTACAATTTTGTGCTTGTATGATTTGAATTGTTATTGAAATTGGTCTAATAATTTTATCTCCAACTGTATATTTTAAATGCTACAATATATGGAGGCTATAATACACTCATTAAATGATTTTTGCTGCTTGTTCAAACTACCTGAACTATCTTTCAGTTCACTTAAATTTTCACAGTGACTTAATGGATTTTCTGTTGGGAAAACATGAATGAATTGTGTGGAAACCCTGCATTTTTACATTGTACACCACAAAATGCTGGGTTCCACACAATTGCTTCACCCCAACACAAATCGATTAAGTTAACTTAATTGTTTTTGCAAATTTAAGTGGATAGAACATAAAACAATTAAGTTGTCCCCAAAAAACATTAAGAATTGTGTTTTTTCAATTCAAATAAGTAGTTTGGACGAGCAGAAAAGATACAATTGAGTGTTTATCCTACCAGTCAAAGGTTTGGGGTCAGTAGGATTTTTAAAACGCTTTGAAATAAGCTTATCCTGCTCACCAACACTCAAAAATATATGTATTTTTGCTCATTTAAACTACTTTTTAAAAATGAGCTGAAACAACACAATTCTTGAGATTTCATTGGGGCAACTTATTTTTTTATGTTCAATCTATCTAAATTTGTTAAAAGTGTTAAATTAACTTAATCAATTTGCACTGGGACAACATGAATGAATTTTGTGGAACCCTGCATTTTTACAGTGAAGGCTGCATTTATTTTATCAAACATACAGTAAAAATGTTAAAATTCGAAATGTTATTGCAC